CAAGACTAAAAGAGTTAGTGGTGGAGCTGGAAACAGAATATACAGAAAAGCTCAATTCTTTGCTCTAATGAGTTGTAAATAGAACTCCCTGTGTTGCACTGAAAAGGTGTAGGTAAAAATACTAAGCCTGCTGAAAGAGGTCAGTCTTGGGGGTGGTTTTAGCCTCTCTACTCCCATTATCATGATGGGCAGTTCTTTTATGTTTCAGTCAGTGAACCTGCTTTAACCCTTTTCTTCTCTGATACCCTGTATCATCTTAATTTCTGAAGAGTTCCTAGTCTCCAAAGTATTTTCATTTAGTTCACAATAACAGAGAATCCTAGCACAGAAATGAAAAAAAATTGTCAGTTTGCAATTTACCTTGATCAGCTAAAGCTTCATTAAATTGATTCGAGTCCACCCCCACAACTTGAGGCATCTGTGCAAGTTCCTCTAAAAATAAATAAAGTCAAGAAGACATCACAGTATTAAACTTCACATAACTTGTAGGTAGGAAAGTAACTTAAAACAGCATGAGCCTATCAGATATACCTAGTACGGATGCAGGTTTATTCATTCCTTTGGCTTGAGTCTCCTCTGTCTTCACAGGCTCCATAGCTGCGTCACCTTCTGTAACCTTCTTTGATTCTGACAAGTTAGTTTCCCCAACTTCCATTCCAGGTTCTGTTGATATCTTTGGATCTTCAGGCTTCTTTTCTTTAGATTTCACTGATAAGTAACAGTATAAAAAAAGCACACTTCATTAAGAACTGCACTATAAAATTTTCTGTCAGATATTCAAAGGCATCCTCTCTTCCTCGTTACAGCTGAGCAAAGAATTTACATATTGGAAAAGGTCATTCCATTCTAGCTTTGCAAAACAGGTGCACTGTTCCATTTATGTGAAAAGGTCTACGTCTTGAAACTTTTCTTTCCTTGAGTCTTTGCTATTCTAGATCTGCAAATAGCACTGATTATCATTATACTAGCCATGTCACAAGGCGCAAAAAGGGTGCTTGCTTATCTAACAATCTATTACAACGGCAAACCCAATAAACAGGGTGAAAGGCTGGGACACACTACCTTAATTATTTGTTCTAGAAACAGTATGGAGGGGAGAGGTGATGGAAGATCAGTTGCATATGTTTTCCCAGGAAAGAGTAAGAGTCCTCCTCATTTGCCTTACCTGCAATATTTGAAGTCTTATTGATTTTACTATCTCCTGTCACCAAGGATTTCTTAGTTATTTCTTTTTTACCTAGGTGAAATATCCAAAAATAAGTCAGTCAGTAGAAATGCTTATTTCTTAGGTCTTACATTTGAGAAGTAAGTGTAACAAAAGAGTTCTAAACTATTTTCATATGTATTTTTATCTGCGGCAACTGAAATGGAGAGAGCTTTAAGTAGAGGACACTAGCTGCTTTAAACATGAATTGACAGGAAGAAAAAAAAAAATCCCAAACTTAAAAGGTAAGTTAATTCCAACAAACTATTGAGAAAGCCATGAAGCAGAATATCTTTTGTGATTTTGTTTAACATCTTGCTCCTGCAAAAAGGCTTGTGTGTTTTCCCTCCCTTTAAATGACTGTAAAAAACTCAATTTCCATATGCGAGACAACTGTAAGAAGCACAATTACATGAATTTTAACTCCATTTAACTCCATTTAGTTTCCATTAGCTGGAAACTAAATTCAAAAGTGACCACACTGAAGAATGAATCAAGACCGTGACATTTTTGAAAAGCACAAGAGAGGTTTCCCACAAAAATAACGTCCGGTCCCTAATTTTACTCAGAAAAATTGCTCATGAGAGCTAATAAAATAAGCAGGAAAAAACGATATGGCTGTTACTTCCATTGTCTCAACAAAACAAAACTCTTCTGAAGTTTAACTGACTTCTGATGCATTTGCTGTGGCTTGTCCTGTTTTCATTAAAGTACTATTAAAAAAAAAAAAGTTCTCTAACGACATGACAAACAAGTTTTTCTGCCAGACCAATTGCACACTATTGAAATAATTTCCTTCTGGATCATTAGAAGACCAGGCTATCAATTTAAAAACATTTCAAAGGTACAGGAATATAAGACACAGAGAAACACTAGAAATAACCGTGGAACAGAATATTAAATATGTTACACAAAGCTCAGAGTCAATTTAAAGAATGCTGCTTATTTAATGGAGTCACACCATACTTCTCTTTCATAGTTCGGGACAAACATTTAAAACTTGAAAACTTATTGAAGCATAAGCACAGGTCAAGTTTTTACAGCTGCTTTGAGCTGCTTCTAAGTGCTCAGAAAAAGCACTCATGTTAAACCAAAGATACGGGAAACGAAGGGGGAGGGCAATAATAGATGTATAACCAGGAAAAAGTCTCACCTGTAATGGATTTAGTAGTCTTAGTGTTGGTGCTTTGATCTTTTCTATTATGAGCAGGCAGAGGAAAAAAAAAGAAAGAAAAATCAGGCTCAAAGAAAACTGATCAAAAGAGCTGAAATTTCTCAAAAACATTAAAATAAGAGAAAACAAACAGAGATATACATCCATTTTGTTTCCGATTGTTATTGGTAAAAGTGATATTAATGCATGTAAGGGCAACACTTACTTTGTACTTGGTGCAACTTTCTTAATAGTCTGAGCCATTTTTTTGATGTTCATTTTGGCCTGCAATTTACAGAAAGAACTTTCACTGCATCGTTATATATATTTTCGCTTCAGTGCGTACGGTACCATGACTTTATACGTTAACAGAAGCTGTATCTTTTACTATTTGCTAAACAGATACTATTCACAAATAACAGTCTTCAACAAGAAAAAAGGGAGAGCTGGAATTAGATATTTGCAAGTCACGAAGAAGAAATAAAAAAATACATTTAAACTTTTTTTTTCCCCCCCTGGGGAATGTAAACAAGTTTATGGAACAAAGTACAGAGCTACAAAAAAACCCACCATTCTGTTCTCCATCACGCTGTTTACCTGGCCAGCAGGTGCTTTGGGCTTTTCTGCTACACTTATTTTCACACGTTTCCCATTTACCAGCACTGGCACAGTTTCGCCATATTTCACAGCTGCTATCACTGCTTCTTTGTAGTTCATTTCTAAGAAGGCCTAAAACAAATGGCATGTTCAATCATATGTTTATGTTATAGGTACAAAATACAATTAAGTTTCATTTTTCTTTCGAAAAATCTGTTCATGCCAGAATTGCATGTACTTCTCTCTCCAAGTTCATGTAAAGCTTGATGAAAAAGCCTGGACTTCACTTTTAAAGAAAAAGCATCCTAGCTCCCTCTAACAATTAAGACTTGGGTAGCAAGCAAGACTTAGCTTTATAAAGCTAACACTCCCAGTTCTTTCAAGATTACATATGTGATCTGTAATGACAAACTGTTTAAGAAGTCTTACCCTGCGAGCAGTCGAAGATCCAGATATGAAGTCTTTCATTGTTTGACAACTTATTTTCTACTCTAGACACACGGAGGACACAAAAACATTCTACAGGAAAACTTACCTCATTCCTAGAGCGAAGTACAAGGAGATCACTAACTTTGCCAAATGGCTGAACAATTTTTTTAATGTCTTGATCTGAAAAGCCATCATCTGGTAAATCAGATATTTGAAGGACTGTCCCACAGCTCAGCAGTTCCTCTCTCAACAGCTAAAATTTAAAGACAAAACAAAAGAACAAACGCTTTCCAAGTCAAGTCCAGTAAAATCTGCAATGATAAAAATTACTCAAAGTCTGAAGCAGAGAGAGCGCTTAGTTAGCTGTGGTATTCTGAGTATTTTCGGTTTTACTTCAAAGGTAGATCCACAACTTTGTTCTTCCACCACTCTTCAACTTTCAGCTTATTGCAAGATACGGCATAGGATTACCAAACAACATTGGAAATGCAACCCTTTTGTTTTTAGAACGTATTACCAACTTATATAATTTCAGTTGTCTAGGCTGTAAGGGTGTATATAAGGAGCTGCAAAACTCCACTACTTTCCTTTTAATACTATCTAATAGCCTTCAATAGCACTAGGCAATGCTCTCTTTGTTTATCATTTAGAGGCTAGAAACTACCACAGATGACTGTATCCATCACAACTATACAATAGTAACTAAAACACAACAACGATTTATAGAGAGTTGCTCTAAGAGATCCCAGCGGTTAATATGATGGACTAAGATGACATCGGCTTAAACATCTCCTTATGACAGGACTGGTAATTTCTGTGCTTCACCTTCCCTCTTTGACCAGGGAAAATTAACACTTTTGCCTCCTATCCTTCACTTCCATTTACGCAGTAAATTCTTCTGAAGAGAGGTCATCACTCACAGTATAAACAAACAAGTGCTCAGCAGAATAGGGACTCAAACTTAATGGGCTTTTTTTTTCTGCTGCTGCAAAGGAAATACCACTTTCCTACTTTCCACCTGACAAAAAGTCCTTACTGCATTACTTATCACACTTACTCGCAACCAGCAAATCTTTGCATTAACCCAGCAATCTATCGCACAGAATCCGCCAACAGCTACTCAGAAGGAACAGCCAATCTTTCTACAAGTGATCTCCCTTGAAATGAGATACTAACCAAATTCTTATAATCACAGTGAAAAATATTAAGAAACTTACCCTGTTATATGGAGTAGGACAAGGTCCACTGGTTCCTGTGGATAAATCTTCCTCATCCTCTTCCATGTCTTTGTTCTGGGGTGAATCATCTATTTCGGGAGACTTTGATTTAGAAGCACTTGACCCAGGCAGAGAAGACAAGTCTTTCTTTGAAGCCTTTGGAGAAACACTAGTTTTCAGTGGCTTCTTCATATTTCCAGGCACCTTCCCTAAGAGTCCATGAGAAGGTGGTGATTTTCCTGATCCTGAAGATCCTTGCCCAGCTGCTTGAAGTGACTTATGTTTATTGAACTCTGCTACAAAGCCGGGTCCCAAACTTTTCACTACCGCCTCCAAAGCTGCCTTTTTGTCTGTGAGTGGAAGGGGAAACAAACTGGTTTTTCCTAGGGAACTTACATATACCACTGTTCAGTTGGCTACAATTTCAGTTTTGTTATCGCTACCTATTCCTGACTCGGTCTTGAAACCTGCAAGTGAGAGAACCTTCAGCATGCTCTAGCAGAGGTTGCCTACAAAGAATAAACCTCTGTACTATTTTCACCCTATCATTCTGTAATTTGACATCTTCAGTAAGACTGACAATGTGACGCTGGCAGTAACACCTACAAAAATCCTAATGGTCAGAACAAAGAATGATGGCTTAATTTTGCATGTAAGGGAACATACTTTTATTAAACCTAATCTTAAGTATGCACGCAGATGTGCACGCGGAGACAGACACAAACTATCCACCTTAAACAAGGTGCTTCCAGTAACACTTTGTCACTTAGAATACTTTGTCTCCTTACCTCATCCATATAAACAAACGCTAAGCAAGTAGCCACCTATGTTCCCTGTTAAGTCTTTTCTTCTCAGAAATACACAACAATTACATCAATCCCTCCCCAGATGTTTTTTCTAGCCATCCAGTTCTTCTCTTTACACTCCTCTCTGGTCTCTGGTTCACAAATTGCTTAAAATGTTGTTCCCAAACACCAAGACTATTCCAGCTAAGCTGTTATCAGCATTTCACGTCCCTTCTCTTTGTACATCCCACCACGACAGCTGCCTTTTTTGTAACATTAAGGCACACATGACTGGCATTCATCTCCTGATTTTCTGTTAACACTCCCTCTCTTCTGAAAAGCTGCCAACAAATTGTTCTTCATTTGATATTTATGCAGCTAATTGCTCATGGATTAGAAGGGAATACTTTGCATTTGTCTGCACTGAAATTCACCTAATTTTCTCAAACTTGTCAAGTTTTCTTTCAGTTCTTACTCCGACCCTCAACACACCTCAAGTCCCTCTCAGTTTCTTCCCTAAGTTTTGTAAGAACACTCTCTTCTGTTATTTAGGCTAATCATTAAAAGACAACATAACCGGACTTGGGAGTGAGTCACTGCACAACTCTAGCTGATACCTCCTTCTTAATTTACAACCTGCCGCTGAGAACTACTTTCCGAGTATTGCTATGCAGATAGGGAAATGACAATGAGATGAGCCTACTTCACTTCCGAGAATGTCATGCAAACCAGTGTTAAAACTTACTGAGGGTAAGATCCCTCATCAGAGGATGCTACCCTGTCATACAAGAACAGTCAGATTAGTATGACACTACTTTGTTTTGTTTTGACAAATCCATCCTGGCCACTAGAGTGACGCTTGCAAGCTAAAGCGTTCATCTATTTCATTTTCATGAAAGAGATGCGTTTCATTTTGTTTTAAGTAGAAAGACAAACTCAGTATATCGACCAATAATTGTTCGTTTTGTCTTTTGCTTTTGTAGGATGGGAATTACATAAGCCCCAATCTTGTCTTGTGATCTCATAGCTGTTCTCTCACTTCTCAAACAACATTAGGAACTCCAAGGTTACTTCAATCAGTTTATCCACACTTGTACGAAGTGCATCAGGCCCAGCTGACCTGAGAACCTGTACCCTATACAGGTGCCCCCTTCGCAGTTCAATCCTTATTTTAGACTATAATCTGAAACAGTTAATGCAGTTCTTATTGTTCTAGCCACTTGCTGCTCCCAATGGACTCTACAAGTAAAGACACAAAGAAAAAAAAAAAAACACACACACACCTTTCTAGATATTGATATTCCTCTCAATACTGATGGAAGAAGTTCTTACTATCTTGATATCGCTTACGAAACTCCATGTCTTTTACGTCTTGCTCTTTGCCATTTTGTCCTGAAGACTGATGCTATTGTGGTAAATTATTCTTTAATGATATGATATAGCTTTCATCTCCTGTATGCTGTCTTTTTATGGAGATCAGTGGATCTCACAATTTATGATTTATGGTTTAGTTATTCTTTCTTCTTCTCAGTCTTCTACATTACGGTAGTTTGTATTTTACCCTTAAGAAGATCTCTTTGAAATTGCCTGCCGCTTCTCAACTTTTTACTTAGACTTCTCTCCAATGAAAGAGCTCAGTAGCTCTTAATTTTCTAAAGGTATATGATACAGATACAAATCAAATGGAAAATAACCAACTTTTATTAAAATTCCTCCTTTTTTTCTCATTGGGATTTAAAAAGAAATAAAAACTCCAAACACCCTAGTATTTCACCCAAGGGACTTGAGTTCAGAACAAATGACGCATAACTGAGTTCACACACAATTTACTAGAATTACAAAAATTTTTCCATTATGCTTTTCACACATTTTCAAACTGGACGCAGTAAGCTGAACGGAGAGGGTAAGCAAATGGTGCAACAAACAACTGTTGCAAAGAATGCCGCACTGAAAGTGTCACATATCACCCCTTTTTCTCATCTAAAATCACCTATGATCCCTTCATGGGCCCCCTGTAAATTCCACTTCAATTTAATGCAGTTTTAATAGAGTGCATCATTTTTTTCTCATCTCTGCAGTTGCAAAATCGCTTTTTTTCCCCCCCATGCTGAAGGATGAAGAATCTCCAAAAGTTTTCAACTCTTAACTATCCTTACTAGCTTAAAAACTGAGCACAAATAGAAAATAGATGCTTGCTCAGCAGTTACTTGATACCATTTACCAATTACTGACACTAAGTGAGGAGGACTTCAAATCTCTTAGAATATCTGTTTTCTTCTAAGCATAAGTCTTACAAAGCAACAGCAAAAGGGAAAGCCATTTTAAAATACATTTTAGATTTACATGTAAATACATTTTAAATACCTCTCCCCTTTACCTGGGGATCGGGTGCTCCTCCTTGATGACCAATCATTACTGGAAGACCTCTGAGGTCGCGGACTTGTTCTCAGTGGATTTCTTGATCGCTGCGGTGACCTTGACCTGTGTCTAGGGCTAAGTCGTCGCACCTGCCTTGGGCTTCGACTTCTTGGCCTTGCTGGCCTGAAACGGCCAGGGCTCCTGGATCTCGATCGTGATCGACGAAGAACATAGCCAGAACCGGTGACCCTAGAACGTCTAGGACTGGGACTGGCAGAGTTGGAACGGCGCTTTGGGGTCTGGTTCTCTTTTCGGTCACCAGCATTTCTAATAGAATAAAGGCATGTAATGAGTTTAAACAAGGCAGCAAGCTTAACCTGAGTCTGTGGAAAGAGAGTTTCTGCAAAAAAGGAACCGAAACCAACAAAGCATATGGAGGCTAATTTATTAACAAACATACTTTAACTACCAGTAACATGCTTGCTACAGAAACTTAAGACAGGTAAACAGAACTGAAAAAGAAACAAGTGGGAGACAAAAACCTGCACAGAACAAGAAAAAGCTGTAAAGAAGATAAGTCTCAAATTACAAGTTGCAGTGCTATAAAAATGCATAGGAAGAGGAAAAGGATGCATGAAATTGAGAAACGACCCAAGACATCTTCCTTGGTTCTTCCTAACTTAGCTTGAAAGTAAGAAACCTTGAGACAATATGTCTGTAAGATTGATTCAGGCTGAAGGAGAGATATGAAAGGAGTGACCTAAATATACGTGCACCACACATTCATGGCGCGTGTACCTACAGCTGTGAAACTGATGAAGAACATGGAAAGAAATAACGGGGAGGAGAGCCATGAGAGAAACAGTTACTGTTAGAGACACAGAAGTCGTCAAGCACAGTAAAACCCTGACAAAACTAATCATAGGAATAAAGGAGAGAACGGAAAAGGTCAAAGATGCATAGAGTACATGCTTATATATCTGTTTTTGATGAGCTAGTCAGGTGACAGGTCAGTACGTTATGTTCAAGCATTTGCCCAATTTCTCAGCCCATGCTGAATTCTGTGATGCCAGAGATGCATTGCACCAGTACTCAAAACCAGCTGGAGTAAACACAGCACCTCAGAGGTGCTAAAACCAGAAGCAGCGACTGATGCCAACGTGCCCTTCAGCATGACGCAGGAAGTAGAACTGCGCTAGCAATTTCTGTAGAAAAACTAACAGAAACACAAGCAAATAACCAACTTGGCGTACCCCCCCAGGCACAACTGGACTTACTGAAAAGACAGTATGCTAGATGACTGAAAAATGCAAGTCTTTTAACACAACACAAAAGAGTAGTTTACATTTCAATTGAAAAGCATTTAAGTTTGTTAAAGGTAACCTACCTAGAAACACAAGAGCATCAGCACTCAAAGAATCACCAAATCCACTTTTATTATTACTGCTCAAGACTTTGAACAGACAAAGCTGCTTTGAGGTGATATAAGTTAAGGAGACAGGACCAACAATCAGCAGACCGGAAAAGGGGATGAAAAGCAACTGAGGCAGCTGCTACCCAGCCTTTCGGGCAAGCACAGCTGCAGCTAGATGAGGACAGACAAACAACCCTTCAGTTCTTCTACATGATGCTCCAACCTGCCCCACGCAGCAATGCTTCCCAATGCTATTTAATTAGCAAGGTTCAACTATAATTAAAAATCCACATAAGTCTCATTATTCCTGTGTCCAACACTACATTAAAAACGTTTCATATCAACAAATCACAGCAATTTATAAAAAAGAAAACATTGTGAAAAGAGCTGTACAGCAGTAGTTAGCAGAGCGGACACAGTGCAAAGCAAGTTCATCGACCCTGCCCTGAGACTACAGCCAGCAACTCTAGACATCTGTGATTGCTGCTTACAGCAAGCTGTATCCTAACTCTCCCATCTGGAGACATGTTGTCATCACAGAAGGATTCAAGAAAGCACCACCCTAAAAAACAACTCTTGCCCCACCTGTAAGTGCAGAAGAGAAGTCACCCACAAAAAGCAGTATTAAACCACTTGTCCAGTTTACTAAATTCCTCTAGCTAAGAGCAGTTTTCTTTGTCTGGGTTCTTTATAACATCAGCAGCACTCAACATTCTGCAGCAATCTCATTCTGAGGTTTTAAAATATAATTTTCTCTTCATGAAAGTTTCAAGTTATTCTTTGTTTAACAACATGGAAGGATCTTGTGCGCACTCTGCAAATTAACCTGACCTACATTTTGATCTTTTTAATACAACTTCACACATTGAACAGTCAGCTTTCCAGGAAACCAATCAATGGGAAGTCACAGGACAATTCAGCAAAAATGAAAATTCGACCATTCTTGTTTGTACGCTAGTGAAAACACGTATAAATACTGAATCAGTAAAATAATCCAATCTTGCTGAGATTCAAGTAGAATTAGTCCACATAGTGCATTTTCAAAAACAATTAATTGTAAACAGCATAATTGTTAAGGCTAGAAGAGACACGAGTTCATCACCTCCAGTGGTTTTCAACTTGTGATCACATAGCTTCCCAAGGGATCTATAAAACAGTCTACAGAGTCTGCGAAATACAGCTCAGACAAGCAACCCTAATGTCAAAAAGGTTTCAAGCTGCTAACAAAAACGCCACGGGGGAAAAAAAATAAGTCCATTAAAGTCGGAAACCACTCAGGTAGTCCGATCACTGATCTAAAACAGGTCACAGTCTCATCCAGTTACTACATCGCGTCCAACAACTCGCGGCTAACTGACGCAAGATTCTGAGAAAGGCTCAGGGCAAGACTGCCGACAACGTTACTCTTCTGGCTTTTCTACATATTTTATTCTCATTTGTGGGAAAGAACTGTATATGCCATGCCACCCTTATTATTTGAAGGGCTTAGCACAAAAACACACAGAGACCCCACACAATTTTACAATGGAAACATGATACCACTAATAAAGCTTATCAGCGAGCAAAACAGGAAAATTAATTGCACCGTTTGCTCCATGTTTTCAGTAACATCAAATTAAAAATAACCTGTAATCAAAAAGCAGTTACCTCTTTGAAGAGTGAGACTCAGGATTCCAGTCAGGGTATCTGTTAAATGTTAAAAATATGACTGTCAATGAAAAAGCTAAATTTGCCACCTGGGCACATTTTTGGTTTACATGCAGTAGCTTTTACAGATAAACGTTCCCATTCAGGACTCCAGAAGCATCAAGTGTCAGTTCATCTTTTACCCTAATGGTCTAAAGCAAGGTAAGAATAGCACTCGGATACAGATAATCCTAATTAAGGCAATCTGACAACAAATATGCTTCCACAGACTGTGTGCATGCACAAAAACACTTTTTACACTAAGTGAACTTTTTAAACAAATTCCTTACTGTTGACGTAACTGACGGCAGCTTTCAATGTGAGGAGGAGTGTTCTGATGCAGAATCCAGTCCTAATTGGAGAAAAGACATCCACAGAAGTTTGATTAGTGTGCAAAACAGTAGCATTTGACCAAAGTACGTAGTAAAGTATTTTCATATTTTATCTGCCGTTGCTAGTAAATTTTACCTAAGATGATCTGAGTCGGGTTCAGATTCGTAGTTCAAATTATTATTCTTTATGGTAAAAATGAAAATACTTAATGATTATGGCAAGCTGTTAACGAATACAAATGAATTTAAGAGGAAGTTATACAAAAGGCATCACATTAAACTAATCCACTACTTCCATCAACATACTACGTGGTGGTTGTCATGTACTTTTAAATGCAGAAAAGTAGATCCAACAGACAGCTATACTTTAAAAGAAAAAAAAAGGCTATTAGCAATTTTCACAGATTGTCGGACTGTAAGAATATATACATAGCAAATTAAGCCGAATAAATCCAGTTTAAAAGAGAATCAGAAACAACATAGCGTCTCCAAGTCAAAAGTCATTGCTACAAAGGCATAAATCTTCATGCCTTAAACTTAAGAACAATCACTCCTAATGCTATGGTACAGCCAAAGGTCAGCAAAAAGAAGTGCGATGAAACCCTTACTTTTCGCTCCCCATAATGTTCTTCCCATACATAAATTTAACAAAACTTTAATGTAGGGAGCATCTGATGGGTTAAGTGTTAGCCGAAACCAGAAGTACTATGTAAGCCCTCAATCTTGAAAATTACTTATGCACAGCTTTAACTGTAAACACACAATTAGTCCCCACTATGGGTAAGGGGAATAATCAAGGTTTTTGAGACTGGAGCACCAGAAACTACACCTGAAGACTTTTTTTTTCCCCCTTCTAGTAAACTGACCTGCTGGTGAAAGGGACTGCTATAGTCGGTATGCTATTGAAAAGAGATACTGCATGGCCTGAAAATGCAAGGTATCGAGCATCAATCAGTACTAAATATCCTTAAAAAAAACAATTTCCATCTGCTTTAGTATTTTAAAGCAGACATTAATGGCTGAATAATGCAACTGACAGGCAAATTATAAAATAATTTGCTGTTGTGAAGTTACGTATGACCCTTTCTAAGCTTACGCTGGCTTATACTATAAAAGATTACAAAATGTGTAGTTGGCAGAATCAAACTCTTGTTTACCGACAAAAATGCTGAACGCATTGGTTCAAAGAAATGCTTGTGATGGCTTACTGAAAGCTTACAAGATGGAAAAACTGATTTAACTAGACCCGAGTTAGTTTTCTGCAGCACAGAAAACAGCTGTGAAACATTAGTGAAAACAGCTGTTCCTTGTGCTCACACTATCAGCATATCAACCTTAAAACATGAACCACAAGACAGCTACCAAAACTATTTTACTGTAAGCAGCAGAAAACATGTCGTTTAAATAAGTTAAAATACATTTTAAACACAAGACTTGCTACCATTTCCTGAAGATAACACTGACTTACGAATCTCAGGAAGACACCAAAAATTTTTAGTAATTGCGTTCAGTAAAATATTCCAAGTATTTACATACAGTCAGCAAACTGTCGGATGACCCTTTGCATTAGTCTCACTAGTTTTACCAGAGCAAATTAAGGATTTATTAAGAGCACACTGATAAAATAACTCGCAAGCTTTCAGACAATAAAGCTGTGGAACTGTACGCACAGTAAATACACAGCATGCAAGCAAGTAAAGAGCAAGCAATTCACCATTACCAGCTAATTTCTCTAATAACATGCCATTACTGAGTAATCACCTACCCCATTAAGAATGCAATTTATCTAGTTTTAAGGGAAAAAGAAAAACTATTGCTCAATGGATTAAACGGATTAGTTTGTGGAAATGAAAGGAAATAGGCTTCAAATATACCACTTCCATGGTCCAAAAATGAAGAAAGAATACACGGTTTCACAGAGGGCTTTCGGGGGCCATTTTGCTCCCAAGTGTCTTTTAGCTCGCAGCCCAACTCGCATTAACTAGATTGGCAGCCCACAAAGAGATATTCTCCTCCCTAACAAAAACAACATTCTTCTCTTCAAGTCTTCGTTACGCCAATGCCCTCTTGTATTTCATATAATTACAGGAGTCTCAGTGTATGCATATTCCTTCTCTTTGATTCCTTCCTTGCCCTTCTCAAGTCTTCAGGAACATTCCCCTCCTTTTGGCAAGTCAGACCCCACCGCAGGGATCCTTCCACCAAGGAAAGGATCCTTTCCCAGCAAAAGCACTCAAAGAACGAACTTGTAGCCAGTTTCTTGTAGCAGTAGCACTGCTGCACGACAAACCAAGGCCATCGAAGGACTAGCGATTTTATCACTGTATTATCTAATCCTGCGTGACTGGCAAATCTCGTATTATTCCTGCCAGCCCAGCTGGATCGCTATTGAAAAAAGCTTTTGAAGCAGAAGCTGACAGAGAATAATGAAAACCTTCACAGCCTCCAAGCTCAGGTCTTCTGCCAGTAGTAAAGTAAGACTAATGCACAGGGATAGTATGTGCTCTCATCTGTACTAGTTTCACAGCAAGATATTACTTAGGAAAAACTAAGAGTAAAACAGATGAGAATCATGTTTTGTTTCGTTACTCCAGCGATGGAACCACAAGCGTAACTCTCTTTGTGGGGAACAATGAGTCCACATGACTTTACACTACTCAAAGGCCAAGAAGATCTAGCCCTCTTTTTAATTCATTTCAGTAAAACAACAAAAAGCATGAAACACAGTGTTCCAGTCATCAGTAAAAAGCTTCTAGTAAGCGTAATCCCTCACACTACTAGCATTAAACATCTATTTTATTCCAGAAGTGATGTGTTTGAAGACAGAGAAAGCATACTTAATTATCCAAATATATCCAGGATGTCAAGTTGAGTATAAAGCCAGCTTGCAGTCATAAAGTGTTTTAGTACGTTGATGTTTTTTGTACTAGAAAAGAATTTCTCATTTGAAAAAATATGAACATATTTGAAAGAAGATTAACAGAGTTGAGATTCCACTTAACTCAGGACAAGGTAACTGTTCCCTGAAAAAAGGCTGCAGAACACAAACACACAGATTTTGGATGAGAAAGGAGAACACCTTCCAGATCAGTATGTCATTTTAGTGTCAATAACTTTTCCAAATTAATTTTTAACAGTTTAAAAAATAAACACCTTCTTGACTATATTTTTTTTTGGTAACACGTTACTGGGTTACTATCCCTGGCAAAGCTACAAAAAGCAAGAGGCTTCCTGGCATGAGATAAAAATAAGCACAAATCTACTTGCACTATTCACATGTTTGATGCTGCTCCAATAACATCCAGCTTTCAAGCCCACGGTAGTCATCGTTTACCATATATCCACAAGATTTTAGAAAGCTATGCATTACGTTAGAAAGTCGACACTTGATTGAAGGACGACAGATAGCCAAGACTGAAGTTGCGGTGTTGATTCAGCAGGCAGCACTGCTCTCAGTTCAGCTCTGAACAAAACCTCAGCACAACATAAGAATGAATCGTGGTGCCAGGGGCATCTTCAAATAATCGAGGCTCCGACCACCTACTACTAAGGATCCCACAGGCAGTTTTGGTGGAAAGAGACACCAGCATCTTTCTAAAGTCCATTACATGAAACAGCTACAGTGTTCTTCACATTCTGTCCTAGAGTAAAAGGCTTTTTATGCAGCTGCTAAACTGCCCCATAGCATTTCACAGGATGATTGTACCTATGCCTTACAAAAAAGTTGCAAAGCTTAAAAACACCCCGTATTTTTCAAAGACAGACATACAACAGCTATGCCATGCGGATGCAAGGTACTAACTTCTGACTTATGAATAGCATATTATCAAAAAAAAAAAACTTCAAACAGCAGACCAAGGAGGTGCTGTAATCGGAAAAGAATCATGAATAGGAACTAGAAATCATGTACATGCTTAGCTGTATGACACTCAGGACAGAATATTAACTTTTCATATACCGCAAAAATCTCAAGGCCATCTTCAACTTTGATTTCATCCAACCTCATGAATTAAATAAAGTTAAATACTTAAAAAGAAAGACCTATAGGGAGAACCAATTGGATGCTTTTGGGAACAGCAGAAGCATTTTTCACTCCAAGTCAAAATTGAGTCCGTTTCCACTGCAGTTGTGGGAGAGGCAAGCTGAAAGAGTAAGGGGAAAATATCTCAGATGGTGCAAATACGAAGCTTTAGCCACTAATGGCCATTGAAGATCCAGAAGCAGACTATTCAGGAGTGGGAGTTGAGTCTTGTATCCAGCCATAATTCTGTGATTTTATTAAAATAACTTCAGTTAGCATATTTGAACTCTCTTAAAACAGGGTAGTGCAGCTTCTGCTTCAACCCTGGCAAGAAAATGGAATCCTAGGTGAGTTTGTAATTCGGTGCAAAACTGGATTAGAAGGACCTACAAAAAAGACAGCTAATCACCATGAATAATCTGAACTTGAAATCCATCACTTTAACACCACTGAAACTTATGTTTGTTGGATGTCCAATCTCTTCTGCAGTTGGATAAAGTGAAGATTTTCCTCATTCGACATCCTTCATCTAAACCATCATCTGTTTTTGTCCTGAGCTATCCTCCTCGCTCGTCTACTTTCTTTGCAATTGTGTCAAGTTTTTCCAGTTTGCCACGTTACAAAGGCAGCTATTTATATCACAGCATGCTTAAAGTCCTTTTACAACTTAACACTGCACACCACAGTTTATCCTGCCCAATCATTTTGGCCTAAAAACAACTCTGAAGATCCGGTCCACCTACAGGTGTACTAGGGCAGACCAAAGGTCCATCCAGCTTACTTAGTATTTGTTCTCCAAAAGCATGCAACAGTGGATGGCTAGGAAAGAATATAACAAGGCAAAGACACTTCTGCAGAATACACTCCCAGTCTCCAATCATCTGCTAATCAGGGACTTCTTGAGCCATCAGAGGGGTCTTTGCATAACCTTTAAAGGATTTTCTTCTTTGAATTTGCCAAGTTATTTCCAAACTAAGATTCCAAAACATTGTGGCGAATAGCACCTAAGCTCTGGGCAAAAATAAATTATTTCCTATCCATCCTCCTCATGCCACTCATGATTTTACAGACTTCTGCTGTATCATTTCCCCATCATTTCTTTTCCAGTTTTTAGGTGCTGCTTCATATGCTTCCCTTTATAACACTCAGAAAAACTTGAAAGACAAAAAATTGAATGCCTAGAATATCTTTAACCTTCCAACTGAGACAAAGAGGACAACAACTTTTATTTATAAAGTCAAACTATAAAAGTGAAAGCTAGAGGAATTTTTCATTCTTTAGAACTCACAAATACACAAGAATAACACTTCCTGAAGAAATTTATTTGTTTTTTACTGTAAAGAATAGCAAATACACACTAATTCCTCTGGTTATTTTGTAACACTGTCATTTAAATATCGCTTGCCCATGAAGCCTCAAGAAAGCCTGAACTGTCTATTCAGTAAGAGGCATACATGAACAAAACAAAACAAAAAAGATTCAGATTAAAGTTAATATATGCCAGAGCTAGAAGCAGTCATGACAGGGAGAAAAGGTCATGTAGCTGCAATCTGATCAGATAGCCTGGAGCACACATGCTACACTGTAGTGATATTAGGACAAGGAGAAGCTATAGCCCTCGATCTCCCCACAAAAAACTCATAGCCGTTTCTTCAATAAGTATTTTTAGTAAAAACATTTACCTAATTTTTGAAAGCACCAGTAAGCAAGCTACTGAATCATTCACATTTAAATAGATTAATTAGACAAAATACTTTGGAAAAGTGTATTAACAAAAACCCACACCGGTCATCATATTCAATTTCAGACCTTTTTATTCTAAATCAAACTACCCTTTTAGTTTGCAAGTCTGCCTAAACAGCTGCCCTTTTTCCTGGCCTTCACTACTTCCAATATAAAAATATTTAACATATTTTTACTCAGAAACCTCTAATCCAGCTGTCATCATCTTAACTATTCACTCACTTTTTAAATATACAGCACCTAGAAATCTTACATAATTTTGCCAAAATGAGGGGGAAAAAAAAGACTCCTTCCAGATTCTCCACATTTGGCAGAGACTACTTTAAACACATGAAACTAATAAGGAATTATTATTTTTTTTTTTAAATTAAATCCTCCTGTATTTTTGGCATATCAAGCCTAGGTGTCTCAAGAAAAATCTACAGCTTTCAAAACACTTTTCTCTTTCCCAGTATTCACCAATTCCTTCCTTTCCTTTCTTCCAGAGCTGAAACTTATTTGCTTCATGGCTGAAAACTCACTCAGATGAATGAAAGCATTTTGTGTATCCCTCACAGATAGTCTTTAGTCTCTAGAATAGTCAATGTCACATAGACCACCTCTGGAAAATTAAATTTTTGCAGAAAAATAGGCTGCTCTGTTTAATGAAGACTTCACAGGAGTGGAGCTGAATATAGGAAAATCAACTCAGCATAAAATTTTTGCACCCTTTTTGGTCACCCAAACGATGTTAGTATTTTACCCCACTGAAAAAGGGTTTGTTTTGTCATTCTAAACCCAGTGCAGGAAATAGGAACCATTTTTTAATATGAAAGAATAATCGACGTGCATGGCAACTCTGAAATAAAATTATAAACACAACAGGCTGTGCAATAAAGTTATAAATTTTTACTAGCATTTTTTCTAGTATTTTAAAATTTTCAGGTAAGCACTTAAAACAGGAGCACAGTATCACAACTCATTTAATGCACAATAAAAAAAATTGTTCATAGAACACTGCAGAAGGTAAGATGCTGAGTACAAGTTTAGGTAATAATCTTTGAAAGCCACTCACCTTCATATGAGTGCATTCAATGTTACACAGAGAACACATATGTGGAAATATTCTTGGAGATGTAGCATAGTAGTCATTCATCATCGAGGGAGTGGGCAATCTTTTTATCTTCTGGGCATCAGGCTGTGGAAACACTGGAAGCCAAGATGCTTTCACAATGCCAAAAGGAGATTTAATTGGCCCTTCAGCCTGTGTCTGGAAGGGCTTCTGTCCTGCTACTGAGCCACTCTGTGCATTGGACTGGCTTGTCCCAGATTCATGCTGAATTCTTTCATGCTGGCTTACAGCTGCAAGAAGTTCAGCTGAAAAGGGTGGCTGGGTCAGAGGTGGCATTACATGTTGGGTCACAGACTGTTGGACAAGAGGTGGCATAACAGGTGGCATCATAGGCTGTGCCAAGGGTGGCATTATAGGCGGCATCATAGGTGGTATGACAGGCGGTACTGCAGGCTGGGATACAGATTTCACCACTGGGAGTCCGGTAGGTGTTGCACACAATCCGGACACCTTTCCTGTAGTCTCAGATGGAAAAAATGACCGACTATTTGATGACTCACTCTGGAAACCCATCTGTTTTATTAATTCCTCAACTGGAAACACTGGATTACATGTCACACTAGACTGTGGGACACCCATTGACATATTCTGATCTCGTTGGAAGTCCTCCCTGTTCTCTCCACTCGATACTTCAGGATTATATACACGTGCTTCAAGAGGATCTTCAGTTGGTACTTCAGGGTTATAAACGCGCACTTCAAGCGGATCTTCAGTGTAACCATATTTGCTTGCGTGACCGTAATCAATCACTTTACTCTTGACTGCTGGCCCACTTGTACCACCAATCGTTTCCTTTCCTCGGCTCCGAGAATGCAAGCCAGATAACGGACGGCCCATTTTACGAATCCTTATCTCTCTCAAGATTAGTGGCATGTTCTCAGGTGTTAACTGGTCATCTGGATAGCGACTAAGTTCCTCCAAATCTTCATTGGACAGCCCAAAGCTTGCTAAAATACTGGAAGCACTTTCTGTCGTGTAACGGCTCTGGACATTCGCATTCTGCTCTGTGATCCGTGCTGAAGCAGATGGCTTTTGCCCAGTTGTCCCACCAGCTGAGCAGGGGCTACTGTCCCAGCGACTTGGTCGGCCTTCTCCCTTTTGCTCTTGGTGTAGGTTTGCCTTCTCTTTTACCTGCCTCGGATCAGTTCTGTGCTGAGTTACCTGAACATTTGTCCTCTGTGATCCTGTCCACTGAAACGTTTCCTGTCCTGAAAATCTCTGTGACATTCCTTGAGGTGTTCCAGGTGCAGGTTTTCTCTGAAGACCTGCTGTACCCCCTCCCCTAAAGGATCCTTGAGGTTTTGTGCCAGATGGATTAGGTCCTCTCGGCCTCTGAGGTAAAGTTCCTCTAGGGCTAAACATCGCGATTTTCAGAAATGCCTGATTTAACAAAGCATAAGGAGGTGCAGAACTGTTTGTAGCAACTGAGGTCAATTGCTGAAGAGCCAACTGTGTCTTAATTTGTGCAAGCTGTAAAGGAGGAGGGCCCAACAGAAGTGGGCTCGCAATGCCAAGGTTCAAGGAATTCACAAGTGGTGCGAAACTTTCCAAGAATAACACAAAGCTGAAAGTTAAAAGACAAGTATTAGATTATTTTATCTTTTCACCAACTTTCCGCTGGGGATTCTATAGCCAGTGAGAAAAACACGTGCAGTCATAAAACCGTATTTCAATGACAGCTTTAAATGACAGATGTGAATTTGAAATTCTGTTCAACAAGACCATTTTCTTTTCCTGTATAAAATCCTATCCACTAGACCGTTTTAAAGCTCAACCAAATCAGTTCAGTGGCACAGATAACGTATCTAGTTTTTGTATCTTCCTACAGTATTTTCTAAAAAAAAAAAAGTTTTAGTTCTTAGTGACAACACTGTTTGGATTTCTTTGAATTTAGAGCTATTTTATGAGCAGTAGGCCAAAGTATTAAAAGCACCTCAAAATGTTTACGAAGTACGAATTATAAGTGAAATCATTATGTAAAAAATTCAAAACAGCTACAACTTGGATGTTAAGTCAGTGTAGAATCAATTTGAAGGCAGCAGATAAGTTTTCAGAATGGACACTCCCATGACTATTCTCACGGGTAAGCTACTATATTCTGAAAGTATTCAAAGGGTGTAACAAATGGATATTTGAATTTTCTGGCTAGAAAATCTCCATTTCCCAGCTGTTATAGACAAGATCTAATACTGAAACAACTTGAAATAGAAAGGTGTAAAATCATCTACAAACTGAAGCTTTCCACATTCGAGAATAAAACACGCACAATGGCAATGGAAACGACCCTCTTATTTCAGGTGAAACCACTCGGAACTCAGTCCTGTAAGGTGATAAAAGAACGTATAAATACAGGCAGAAAAAAGATAAAGCGATGCCCAGACTAACAAAACATGAAACGGTCCAGAGGTTTTGAAACTTGTTTTTGATGTAGACTGCCAAACTTTGAGCTCTTTCAAAGAAGGATACCTCATCTGCACAGTTCCGCCTGCATTTACAACACTCCAAAATTGCACATTTAGGAGAGTCAGAAGGACCCCAAGAAGTCCTTAATCCACCCCCTTACCAGTCTGCAGTCTCCTGAAACTGGATAATCTGCTGGTTCCATTCTTTCTTACAGCAATACATTAGGTTTCAATGAGCTTTACTAGTGGATTTTCACTAAGCATAATTAGAATACAGCTTGTAGACGTTCCTAGCTGTTTTTAAGCTTGCATACTGTATTTCAGGAGCATTGAGGTTCGAAGCTCGTTCAAGCTGACTCTAAAAAAATTTTTTTTTCAAGGCAATGAAGGTGCCTCTCTCATATTTGTAATTTAAGATGATTAAGTTTGAGAACCACAGTTCACAAGACAACAAATAAAACTAACGTGAAAGGTGTAAACCACATATCGGCAGGAGTTTCAGTTTTTAAGGATCAATTTCTGTATTTTGTCACTACCTATATGTCAAGCAGTTCTGTAAGTTCCAATGGTAATTATTTTAACTAAGTAAAAACTGAAGTCAGTTCAAGGAGAAAGAGTAGCTACAGAAACAGTACATCGCCTCTCCATTACAAAAAAAAATAGGAAGTCATCATAAAGGGAAGATTCCCATGAGACAACAACCACAGAACTACTCTGGCCTCTCACCCAGGACCGCTTACCCCATATCCTTTCTTTCTGAAACAAATTACTCGTATGTAAATGGTAGACCAAGTTTAGACCACATCAGATCAAGTTTATTCTAGAACCTTTCAAAACAGATTATTATGCAAACATTCACAAAGTAATCTCTTGGCTTTCAACGTTGTTCTTCCCTACAACTCTCAACACTGGAGGGCAAAAAACCTCTCATCACGTTATCTGGAAAGTAGTTGGGACAGCTTAAGAGAACGAT